GCTCTAATACACAGTTGTCCCAGAACCTGACTGATCTTGCTGATCTTGGAGTCCATTTCTTTGCCCAAAGACCCATTGTTCAAGAATTTGAAGTTATTTACATTTGACAGCTGGATGTCATCAACAATGATTTTTGCTTCCTTTGGGTTGGTATTTTGCATGTGCTGGTAAAGTACTTCAGTCTTTTTCAGGTTGATAGTCAGGCTGAAGAGCAAAGCAGCATCTTAGAATTTCTTCCGCATTAATTGTAGAACACTGTCTTGTGCACCTGGAGTGCACATTCATCAGCAAAGATGGGGTGTTTTTTTAATGACCCTACAAGGTACTTTGTGCATCCAAGCAGCAGAGATTAAAGAAACAGCCACCTAACCTGATATACACTTCCTTCTTCAGACCTTGGATAGTATGTCACAACCTGCAAGGAAGAACAGATTGAAAAAGACGGGCTAGCACACAAGCCTGCTTCACTCCATTAGAAATGGCAAATGCAGCTGGCATATCACCATGGTAAAGGACCTGTTCTGTCATTCCATCATGGAGTAGCTAATCAACTTCACAAATTTTCTTGGGCAACCCTAGTATCTCAGGAAGGTCTAGAGAGTCTCCCTACTTACAGTGTCAAAAGCTTTTGTTGGGTCAGTGAACACATGGTAAAGAGATTTGTTCTGCTCAATGCACTTTCTGTGAACTTCCACTTTTTTTTCTTTTGTATTTTGTGTTACTGCTATATCTATAATAAAAGCAGGAGTGAAGGACCAAACCATTGTAGTCATTGTTGAAGTCTGTGTTAATTTCAGCCAGTATAGAAAATGGTTAAGGATGATGGGGTTTGGCTATAACTGAGAAAATGGCTTGTCAAGTTCACATGTAGGTAACCAGAAAGCCTGCATATTTACTGCTCTTACTTTAAGGGTTTGGGGACATCTCCAATCCAAAATGTGCGTGAGGTCCAATGAAGCTTATAGGACTGCCTGGATTTTCTATTGAATAGATGTGTTCTAGGATTAGTGTGCTAGGACATTTTGGAGTGACTTATCAAGAAAAACAACCACAGCTTTGATCTTCCATTCACCAACCTATTCTATAATACATCTTGTCACATGGTTGAAACAGTGTCACCTCAGGGCAGCAAGTTCATTGAATATTGTTTTGTTTTCCTGCTTAGACAAATGAAGTATAACTTTGCTCTTGACAAGTATAACTAGTGTACACAACAAATTGTCTCTCCAGTTATAACACAATATGCCTGCTTTGTTCTAAGGTCTTCTTTCCATCTTATCAGCTCAACAGTTTATTAAGTTATTTCAGGCCATTGCTTTTGACTCATGCTCTGCATTAAGTTATTCCAGGATAGTGCTTGTTTTTCCCTAGTTCTTGGGTACAGACCACATCAGGAGAGAGGTACAAACTAGCAGAATCCTGTAAAGTCCTTGAAAAAATATATTTATCAATCCAAGAGTAACTGAGGTCTCCTATGTAATCTTCTGCCTGAGCAAGGCATGGTCAGAGAGTTACTTTAGCAACTTCATCCAGATGTTCACCAATATTTAGTCATAGCCATTTGTGATAAGGTTTTAGTAGTTTTGAGCTCCACCACATCTACGGTAGTAATAAGAGAGCTTGAAATGATTCAGAATATCTCATTTTGAATGTATTAGTTCATATTGTATATAGGAAATAGGGTTCACTAATTGTAGTACAGATTCAGTTTGACTATCAAGAACTAAAGGAATTTCATTTCACTGAGTCTTTTGCTGATATACATTATCCAGTTGCCCTTGCACATTGTAGAAATCAGAATACAAAAGTTTAACTCATAATAGGGAACTAGTTTGGCAAGGGAGTTGAGATACCAAGCTAGGAACTGGGAGACTGTAAGCACAAAGCCAGCTGGGTGACCTTGGGCCAGTCACTCTGTCAGTCCTTGGAAAGAAGCAATGGCAAACTGCTTCTGAATTTGTCAAAAAAAACAAAAACCATGCAGGGATTAGTCCAGGTAGTCACTAGGAGTCAAAAGTGACTTGATGGCACACAGGTGCATGTGTGTGCATGCACTCAAACAGAATCATAATTACCTGTGAAGGGGTAACTGTACTCTATTAACTTGGGAGTATATATTGTTTACCTGGTGCAGTACCCTTTCCTTATGTCAGCTGCAACACCAATTAAAAGGTTTTTCATAGTTGTGAAAGGATATACCAATGGCACCATGGGCAATGTGATATATAAAATCATGCCAGGAATAGGTTTAAATGCCAGGGCTGCAAATGATGTTTCTCCCCAAGATGCAAACAGCTATTCAGGTCCAAATGTAAGGATAAATAGTATCAGACACTGGTGAGCTTCACAGTGCTCATTCACTGGAGTGGAATGAAGAAAGGAGACACAAAATGTTCATTCCCCAAAGGCACCTAACTACACCTTGGAGTTCTACTACACAATTTTTAAGATGAAAAATGTGACTGATCATCTATATATTAAAGAATAGTGAAAAGGTGTATTTATTGTTTCATTAAAATTGACATATAGTAGTATCTAATTCAAACCATGGCAAGTCTTTGAAGAACCAAATGTCCACACCTTTATCAATTTTGTCTTTTTAAAAATGTTCTTCCAGCAACTGAGAAGCTCTTGTTGCAGCAAATGGCAGATGGACAAACAAGCAGACAGCTTGAAGCAGTTGCAAGTTTTTGGCACTCTGTCTGCATATTTCCAGTGCAATTCTATCCAATACTTCAGCCTAAGTCTGCTTGTATCTATCGAAAATCAACTGTGCAGGATAAAATGTGCTTGAAGAGAAAGAAAGATGGGTATGAAACATTGCTCCAATGCTTTTATCTTTGAATGAACAGTGCTCATGTCAATGTCAGGCATCCGATACTACAAAACCATTTTTGTAATGTTTTATTCCTTCAGTGTTTTGAATGTTCAGCTGGCCAGTAACATGTGCTGTGCCCTCAGTGCACAACAAAGGCGACCTACATTAGCAGGACTCATTACACATGCAGCTCTTTAGTCCTGCAAGCTGTTGTGAGAAGCAGCTGTTGCAATGTAGTGGGTGAAAGGTCAAGTCACTTCAATGGAAGGCATTTCCTTTGTCCAAACCACTCACTGCCTAAATCTTTCCCAGCCAATGATACAAAACTCTGCTGCTCCAAACCTTAAAATTTTAATCTGTACACAAGGTATTGTGTTGACTTACAAAAATAACTAACTCCCATTCATTTTTAATTATTATTAGAATGTTAAATTTCAGGGAGCTCCGGTTATCTCCATAGTATATACTAAGCAGTACATTTGAACCAGTGTTTTGTAGAGCTGCACACTGTAGAAAATGCACTCCTATTTTAAAAAGCAGTAAGTTTACAGCCCAGGACTAGAGCAGACACTTATGCCTTAACCCCTAGTATTGGAGTATCTCCTGTTACATGAGCATTTCCTTAGATTAGATGATAGATAGATAATAGATAATAGATGATAGATTGAAAGATCTAGATAGATAGATAGATAGATAGATAGATAGATAGATAGATAGATAGATAGATAGATAGATAGATAGAT